GTACCATTAAAGAGGCCCTGAGAGCTGGCGGACATGTTCGAGGTGGGACTGGAGTAGCCGCCGCCGTTGTTGTTGTTGTTGTTGTTGTTGCTATTGTTCCCGTTACCATTCATCTGTCCTCCATTTCCACCACCACCACCACCTCCGCCCCCTCCTCCACTTCCGTTGTACGAGCTGCTGCCACTGCTCTGTGGCGTGGAGGCATTGGAGCCGTAGCTGCGACTGGGCGACACACTGCTGCTCTGCGCTCGAGAGTAGTCCGCTGTGTACGGCGTTTAAGAGAAAAAAGAGAAAAAGAAGAAAAATGCAATTAGTAAGTTGTGGGGAAGGAAAAATGGAAGTGGAAATGGAAGTGAGTGAGTAAGTGGAAGTGAGTAGTGGTAGAGCTGTGGTCCACAGTCGTCAAGAATGGCCGCCTAATTGCTGCTAATTGAGTGTAAGTGAGTGCAAGTGAGTGCAAACGGGTGCAAGTGCATTCAGCTTCAGTGGGGCGCATGATGTAGAGGAAAAGGAAGAAAATTAGAGGGGCTAGTGACGGGGAAGCAGAGTCAGCCAGGCAGCCAAAATAACTGACCGAGTAGTCGACAAAATAAAAAGCTCCTGCGACTGCCCAACTCAAATGGAAATGGAAATGGAAAGAAACTGACTGCAAAACTAAACAAAAGAACTGAACTGAACTGAACTGAAGTAGAATAGGGGGACCATCAGAGAGAAGTTGTTGTTGTTTTTAGTAGCCGTAGTCGTAGTATGTACCATAGGGGGGACCATAGAGCATTAGAAAGTTGGCGGTAGTAGTAGTGCTAGTACTGCTGCTGTTAGTAGTGCTACTCTGGGTGGTGGTCCTGCTAGGCTGATGCTCGTGCTGGTGGTGGTGGTGAAGGTGGTGAGGGTGGTGGTGGTGAGGGAGGTGGTGGTGGTGGTGCTCGGGGGTGACGGGCGACTGCTGACCTGCACTGGCCGCGTAGGCGGCGTTGAAGCCCGACATGGCTGAGGCGGCCATCGAGGCGGCCATGCTGGCGGCGGCCGGCGACCGAGGGGGCGGCAGCGAGCAGGGCGTGTTCCGCGGCATGCCGCTGTAGAAGACCTCGGCGAGGTCGGCGGCTCGCTTCAGGATTAGCTCCTGGGCAAAAGGAAAAAAAGGGGTTTAAAATTTAGCATTTATCTTCTGCATTTTTTATTTTATTTCCTCTCACCTTCGACAACTTCTCCGGATCGCCCGGGTGCCGGGGAATGAGCTTGGAGAGGCGGGTGAAGCCGTGGTCGATGGTCGGCTCGTTTAGAGCTAAATTTAATTAAAGCCCAAGTTTTAGTAAAGATTTTTCAGACAATTTTAGGAAAAGAACACCTACAAACATAAACAAATCGGCCCGGTGCACTCTTGCAGAATTGCTTCGACTTGTAGCTGAGCGTCACCTCGACGACGCCGGGTACATTCCGCGGCGGCGTCTGCACCTTGATGGCGTGTGAGGTGAGAAGCTGAAGTTTCGGGGAAAATGCAAAAGATTATTTTCATGTTCCAAAACAAAGCCTTTATTCTAATATACCTCCGCCCAGACGGTGACATTGCCAAAGACGACCTGGAGGCCGTCAAAGAAGTTGTCGCCGAGGAGGACGACACTGGTCCCGCCACTCGTCCAGCCCTCACTCGGACTGAGCGCCTTGATGCAGGGGGCGGCGGCGAATGGCGCTGAAAAATACAAAACAAAAAATTTTAGTTATGATTAAAACCAAAATTGAAAGCAAGGTAGCAATTATTTTCAGTTCCATTTCACCACCACCACCACCAAAAATTGCCCGGGCAGTGTTCAACCTTCAGATCATGTCATCAGATCATCACTGACTGAAAACTGAAAACTGAAAAGCGCAAGCACCCAAATTAGGCAGCGACAAAAAACAGAAAAAGAAGAACAAGAGCACTGAAATTATCGAGTCGGCAAATTGAGCAGGGGCACTTTGCATTGCAGAACACTGCTGCTCAGAGCAAGCAAATTCGCTCATCTGTCAAACGGGAAAGGAGCAAACGAGCAAGTGTCAATTGCCATTCAAATCACGTAGAGATTGAGCAGGAAAAGGGAAAGAGAGCAAGGGTAATCCAATTTAAAAGTTTAAGTTACAGTTTCGATGGACTGAGAGACTGAAAGGATGTCGCGGCGCCGTCAGTGGACGTAATCGACAGGCAGCATTAATGTCACCGATAACAGCGGCGGCGCCGGCCAAAGAGAATACAGAGAAAAGTGCAAAGCGAAAACATTTTACAATTTTTTACAAGGCAAGTGCCCGCGCGCTGGTAAATTAATAACGCAAAGTGCGTTCTTCAATTCACTACTCATAGCAAATGCCCATCATCTATCACTGATATGAAATGACATCTACCACTACTACTACTTTTATTCTACTACTATTACGACCACACTTTCACTATTGACATTTGGGCACATTAAAACGATGAAAAGGACGTGACAAATTGAGAGCCCTTTTGGTGNGTGACATCTACCACTACTACTTTTATTCCACTACTATTACGACCACACTTTCACTATTGACATTTGGAAGCACATTAAAACGATGAAAAGGACGTGACAAATTGAGAGCCCTTTTGGTGGTAGTGGTGGTGGTGGTCAAAGGTCAAGGGCCAAAAGTCTGTGAGATCAATTCAATTTGCTTACCTTCTCCCGGGTCAACCCGTTTGGTGCGTCGGCCGTGTTTGGAGTTGTTGTGGACGAACATGTTGTCGGAGACGGCGAGAATGTTGCTCTCCACGTTCACTTCAGTCAGTATGACGACCTAGAAAATGGTGAACAGAAGAGTGGAAACGATTAGTCAGGCGGTTTAATTATGCCTTTGAAGTGGGGAAAGCTAAAAAAGCTAAAAAAGGGGACAATTTGGGTACAATTTGAGCCGGGAACAAAAAGAAAGAAAAGGAAAAAGATAAAAGTGATAAAATGGTCCATTTTCAGCCCGGGTTGCAGCAGCAAATTATCGCGCCCACTAATTAAGACTGAGAAGACTGGGAAAAGGGAAAGGGCAAATTGCTCCCTTTTTTCCCAACCTTTATCTCACCATTCGCAGAAGCAACGGCGGAATATAGAGCAAATAATTAATTAGTTTAAATCGATTGAAGCAGGAGATAAATAATTTATGGCAGTTTGAAACCTGGCTGGATGGCTGCCCCGTTAGCTTTCAACAATCGGAAGTTCAGCTCCCAAATTAAGTCAAATCGAAACAAATGGCACCGACGCGTGTGTTAGCCTAGATGCCTTTCTGCTTTCAAACAAAGGAAAAAGTAGCGTGTTCTACAGCACACTTTGTGCTACTCAAAGAGCAGGAGCAGGAGACGATGATAAATTACCGCAGCCCACCTCGACGGCGAATGGAAGAGGACGGCGGATAAAACATATGAGTCCCTAAGGTTAAATTAATTAAATAATTAATTTTTAAAACTTAATAAGACAAAGGATACAGCTGAAAGCTGAAAGAGCTGAAAAGCGGAGATGTGCTGCAGTGTTCTCGGTTCAGTGGCGGAACACTGCTGCTGTTTGCATTAGCAACGGTGGTAGTGGTAGTGGTGCCATTAGCGCCGAGACACGAACTCACACAGCAGAGCGAAATAAAAAAAGGGTTAACGCTGGTGAACAAGTTAGCACTGGCACTGTCTCTCTGTCACTTAGCTCATTACAAAATGCAGTGTACAAAAAAAACTAAATGTGCTACTAAAGGGCAAGTGAAATGCTTCGGCTGCTGCTGCTACTTTTGCCCATATTTAGGCACATTCATGCTGGAAAAACTTAAAACTCCACACAATCTTTTTTTTTGTTGCGTTAGTTTACTCACTCACTCATTTGCCATCATCATCTCCACTTCATCTCCTTCTTCTCCATTTCAAAGTAGCGAGAGAGTATCTTTCACTTCTTCTCCTTTCAACACAATAAATTAGTGCCCCTTTCGCTTTTCATTCACTCACTCACTGTGCCTAATCAAATTAGTCATTGCCTGCTTGTTTGCTTGCTGGCTGCATTTTCTTACTAGTTCCATTGTCTGCTGCAAAAAGTCTGGCAGGTTTAATTTTACGTTAAATTAAATAAAAACCAAGAGAAGAAGAGAGCCCGCGCAGGCAGACACAGACAGAGAGACAGACAGACACAAAGGAAGCGGAGAAATTAGGCGAGAAAAAAGAAAGTGAAAGTGAGATCTTTTGGAGATCGGAGCTCTCATTTTCTTTCATTTCGCTGGTGTTCAGTGGCAGCCAGTGCAAACAACCNGAAGAAAGTGAAAGTGAGATCTTTTGGAGATCGGAGCTTTCATTTTCTTTCATTTCGCTGGTGTTCAGTGGCAGCCAGTGCAAACAACCGTAGTGAGCTAGTGAGTGAGTGAGTGAGTGATGTATTAACACATTAGAGAGTGCCGCCGCTGAACTGCCATTGCTGCCTCTTATTAAATTTAAAGCAGTTAAATGAGCCAATTTGAGCAGCAGTGGAATGGATGCTAATGCACTGCTCAAAAGTTCGGGAGAGAGAGTTGATCGAATGAAAAATTGGAGCCGCAGCAAAGTGGCAGCGGCGGCGGCAACGGTTTCAATGGCTAATTTGTCTTCCGATGACAAGTTTATTTATTTGCTGCTGCTGCTGGTGTTTGAGTTTGAAAGCAGAAAAAAAAGAAAAAGAAAGCGAATCGNCTGGTGTTTGAGTTTGAAAGCAGAAAAAAGAAAAAGAAAGCGAATCGATTGCGACTTTGCTGCTAATGAACACAGCCAGCTCCTTCAAAAGCTTTCCTTTCCTTCGTTCTCTCCTGAGCAATTGGTCAATTACATCAGCGAGCCATAGTGAAGGCCATTAGTCAGAGAGAGAGAGTGAGCGGGGTCCTGATTGATGAGGNTCTCTCTCTCCTGAGCAATTGGTCAATTACATCAGCGAGCCAGTGAAGGCCATTAGTCAGAGAGAGTGAGTGAGCGGGGTCCTGATTGATGAGGGAGCCATATACTGCTGATGATGGTGATGCAATCAAGGTTGATGCTAGTGAAAGCACTGGATTTCAAATAAAAGCAGCTCACTGACCGCACACTCTCTGGGCAAAACTCGAGTCTGCTGTTTGCTCTCTCTTTCTTTCTTTCTTTGGCTGTTTGTCTTAGCAGTTCCAACATCAACTTTCGAACCGGGACAGTGTTTGCTTTGCCTTCCTCCACACAGTCACAGACAAATTGAATGCCATTACTGATGCTACGCGCTCTGTCCATAAT